CATACATCAGCATGCCGATCAGGCGTGGCTCATATCTACGAGCGGCGTATGCCCCCAATTGTTCTTCGACAATCAAATGATTGAAAGGTGCCAATAATGATTCGAAAATGTCAGACGCGCCGACCGCTAGCGCCAACGTTCTGCTGGCGTGCAAATTGCCTACAACCTATAATTGAGTACATTTGAGTCTACACTCAACTTTTAACGTTACAAAACTAGTTTTGTAACGTTAAAAAATCAGTAAGAATACTTCAGTTCTAACAATGAAAAGAACGTGAATTATAATAAATTAACTGTAATTTTCTAGCTAATCCAAATCTGTTCTTGTGCGCTTGAGGAACCTTTTATTTATCTCTTAGAATTAAAGATGGAAATTCAGCAAGTGCCTATCTGATGTCTAATGTGATACAGATGTAGCATGAAGACGCAAAATATAATTTCATTGACAAGCAAAAGCCAATTTCGTTCTTCACACGAGGCGTGAACATCTTGTTAAGACAGGTGTCAATTGACGCTCTAGTGAAGTGGAAAAATTAAGCTATTTATAAAAATATGCCAAAGTCATGTAATATATTATGTTGTAGCTAAATAAGGCCAAGGCATATTGCAGGTCGCTAAGCCTGACTGACTGAATCAGTAATACTATTTCCGCAAGAATCGAACCATATCGGTAGAGTCCTCTGGGCCATATGTCTATAGGACACGGGACCGCTGTCCTGGAGACAGTATCATCATAATTGAATCGTTTAAGTATCAAGTTTATAAATCGAAGAAATCATTTAATCTTAGAAAAATATGAATCCCGAGTTTGCATGAGGCGAACAAATATTATAATTGATACAATAAAAAATAATCATTATTTTTGTGTATATTTTTCTAAAAATACTAATATCTATTTTATTAAAACATTTTAACAGTATTTTTAACTATATAATTTGAATAAACCGACGCGGGCGACGTTCGAGTTTTCTACCGCCTGTATAGTTGGCATGACAACTGCACCAATTCAGTGGCGGATTCACATTTTCAAGGTATATGCTGTGAAGTTTTTGCCACCCTTACCTCTACAATTGTCATGTCCTATAATTTTTTAAGAATTCAACAATTTCGTTGCACATAAAATAATTTATGAGTACAATATTATACACAATCCATTCAGTTCGTAGCCTCCCACAAGTTGTAAGTTGATAGGGAGAAGAGGGAAGAGGGAAATACTTTCCGCAATTTCGTTTTTTTCTCAAACTTTTCACTCGTACAAAGTGTCATGTCGATTACTGGTTGTGAGGTTAGGTCAAATTTGTTGCAGACTTCTATCTTTAAAACATCAGAAAACCGTCATGCAGAAATCTTTTTGATTTCTATCAGGTAGCAAAAAAAATCGGTTCCAGCAAATTTGCAGACCTAAAAATATGCCACCCAAGGCTCCAGCCTACTCGTCCTGCTGGTAAATCCGCCACTGCACCAATTGAATAGACTTCTTCAAACAAAATAAATCTACTATTTAGTATTATATCTCGCAAATTATATAACCCCGTCGAAGCCAATTAAACGTTTATTGCCTTAAAAATTCACTTTTCTATAAATCTTTCTGAGGAAGGAGTATGTGTGTCAACGGAGCTATTAAACTAATTCACGGTTTAGCCGATAAATAAACTGATTGTTAGTCGGCGCGAATAAGCGATTAATAGCCAAACAAACTGTCACTTACACTGTAAACATATCCGTGAATATATTTTAGTAACGGGATTTTTAAACCAGATTTAAAATAATGCTGGACGATCGTTTCCGACTATACTCCGAACTAGTCTAACTGTCAGTTTTCCCTTTTAAGATATTTAATCTCAACCATTTTTCAATGATATACCGAAACATTATAATTATTAATAAGTTTCATAAAAAGCTTATTAATAAATATAAAAAGACTATAGTCAAAGTTAAATTCATTTATTTTTATAGGTAACATGTACAACAACAACAATGTACACTTATGAACGTCAAAAAAAAAACATATTAAATGCTTCTAATTTTACATTTATTGCCAGTTCTCAAATCAAGGGCGAACGGAAGAGAAGAACTGGCAATAAACTCTCCGATATGATCAACATGGTCGGGATGCACATTGGTTCCTATAATATTCACACCCAGAGGACGATATCTGGCACTTGGTGAAAATTCTAGAAATTATAAGTTAAAAGTATTTTAAAAATACATTTAATATCAAAATTATAAGTTCTAACTTGAATTAATAAACAAAGTTTTGGATAGGAATCACTTAATTAGCTGAAATCCCTTTTTGTCTACATCTTCATCTGTTTTATTTTTTATTTTTGTTATATTTAATTTTTGTTTTTGTTTTATTCAACCCAACATTATGCTTATTGAAGTGAACTTCTTTCGTATAAAAATGGAATATACCCGTCAATATTTTATAAGATGATCAAATATTTAGAGAATTTAAAAAGTAATTTGAACACGTTCCAACTAGTAAAACAATAGTTTTGCTTCGAAGCCGTTTAAAACATCAATTACTAAACGAGTGCCAAGAAAGTTGTAATTATAGACTGTTGCTATGGGAGTTTAAGAAGCTACAATGTTAGCATTCATATAGTGAAATCTTTACCACTTCATAAATTCCTTGAGTTTTTATTTCGCGCGACCCCAGCAGCGCTGAAAGAACTACGAGTATATCAAATTTACAAAACGGTAGATATAATATATCGCGTGAAATTTAAATGTAAATTTAAGAAAAAGAAATATTTTTATAAAACAGGAAAACGGGCAGAAGGCTCAGCTGATGTTAAGTGATACCACACATGGACACTTTCAATGCCAGGGGCTCGCGAGCGCGTTGCAAGGCCTTTAAAGAATTAGTACGTTCTTGTCTTGAAAGACCCTACAGTCGTATTGGTTCGGAAATACTTTAGTGGGCAGCTGGTGCCACAGTGGTGATGCGCGGCAAAAACTGCCTTACAAATCACTCATTTGTGGAACGACGGACGTCGAGGTGATACGGGTGGAATTTCGTATTCTGCCTCGACGTCCGATGACGAAACTCAGCTCCTATGAACACTTTCTATGGTAAATAAGAATATGCAGCGTGACCCCACATCGCTGCGCAACGCCAGGGGATCAAGCCGCTCGGAAATAGACTATAGCGACCTTCAATAATATCAAAACTCCTGTAGGGATAGGTAAGGAGCAATGGTTTAGGTAAAGAAAAAACTAAGGAGCAGCATAAAGCGGCTGAACGTATACATTACTAATTTCAAGACATTTTAGGTAGACGCGAATTTACGCTTACAAAATGCAAGCGTGCTTTAATTTCATAAATAAGAGATATAATAGGTTATGTTACAACACCACCTGTTGAATTACGATTATTTTGATGCCTCAATCATGCCAACTGACATTACTGACGTACGACACGAGGACGAATCTAGATTATTTGTAGGAGGTCGCGTGTATTCCGGGTAATAGAATATTTTTTATTGGTCTGCATATAGGACGGCTTTCTGTTACTTTTGAATGTACAGTATTCGTACATTCCGTTTAAGATAATTTTAATGTACATTGGTTTATCTAAAACTTTCCATATGAATTTATTTCGTACTGTTAGACTTTACGGCCAAAAGATCAAATTTTTTTTGGAAACACACGCCTATACAGACCTTATGCGTGGTAAAGACAGCCGTAAAACTACGACTCGTATTTTTAAACAGGGTCTTTATAAATTTAGTAGTAATAATTTTGCATAAAAGGTAATGGTACCATACATTTTCAGTTAGGAAGTCATAATAGAACTTTAATGATTTCATAAAGCACTTTCAGCTTGGCTGGAAAGGAGCGGTTCACATGATTGAGTGACCGACTCGGTGCCAAGATGTGTAATTTAATTTGACATATGCGACAGCTACGAAAGTGATTTACTTAATATAATGAGTTCTATACTAATTATGTCTTGAGCACAAACGTACAATAGTAGGAATGCTTTTATTTTCAATTCGCACTGTACACAAGTACCTAAAGAATTATATTAGGTGCTTATTAGGTGTTAATTATACATATTATTGGCGTTTTGTGTGGGAGGAACAAAAATTTGATTTTTATTAATAGAATATATTTAATTTATCAAAGTATATACCATTGCTATCTATGCACTCTTATGGCTCCGGCTGTCCACGGGGCACGAAATTTCCAGAACAAAAACGCAGTGTTTTCTTTTGAGACTCCGCCGCCATACACGTCATTAATCCTTCGAGCCGTTTCTGCAGCACTGGTGCCACGGTGGAACTCGTACTCGTAAATAAAGAGATAGTTCATGATTTTAATTCTATAAATCGAGTGACGTAATGAAAAAAAATAAAACGGGAAAATCAAATGAATCATGGTTTTCGAAAATTTGTTTTTCGAACGAGTTTTTGAACGAGTACAATTTGTACAAAAACTCGTTCGAATTGTAAAATTTGAAATTGGAATTCCTGAGCAAAGAGGAGATATTTGATGTCAAAGTGGCCAGTACGACAAAACGCCAACATCATATGTAAGGCCGGCCAATTTTGTACGACAGACCATATTAGATCCTTACTACTCGTAATTAGCTTAATCACGGCGTTCTAGGCTTAATTTCATTTATTCAATTGCGACAAGGCTTCCTTCGACCTGCATAAGCTTAATACAGGATTATCAGTCGCACTTAGCGGCGTTCCTGCTTAATGAAATTACAGCCATCAGTCTCTGCTTGTTATTGGCGGGATTATGAGTTTTTTCCAACTCAAGTGCTGAACAAAAATACACTGGCTCCAGAATCATTCATAATACGTCACAAAACATTCGACGGTCATTCATACTACGCGTCTCTGATGCTACGATGTCTAACTTGTGTACGTAGATTTTGAGAATTGGATTCATGTCAAATTTTATAAACGAATGTGATCAATTACCGTTCCAAATACACCGTGCTGTTAAATATATTTGAATAATCATGCGAGTTATGAACAGTAATGTTAAGTGTTTTCATAGTAAACGCTGGATTCTTACGGAGTATTTATAATTTACAGCACAAGAAACGCGGAAAGCACGAAGTACGAAACAAAGAAAACGTTATAGAAGAAGTGTTGGATGTAGAAGTTAAAGAAAACGAAAAGGATTCAGCGGAAACTGAAAAGGAAAAAGACAAACCATGCTACGAAATCAAACAGTCGGATGTTATGGGACGGTAGGTTCAATTTTTATTATTAATAAACGTGGTAATTGTTTAAGAAACAATTTATAACATATTCCCGCAATGATTTTTCTGATTGTGTAGGATTTTAATAGAATGTTTTAAATGTTGCGATTTAAATTATATTTATCATAAAGTAAACTATGTGACTGCAAAAAACTTTAAAATTAATTCATTTATGTCATTTTATAACGTCTATTGCAGAATAACTATCAGAAAAATTATTTCTGTGTCAGGTCTTAAATGTTAGCTTTTTGGTATAGATACGTGGTGGCCAGTCGAGATATAAAGCCAGGCGAGGTGATTGTGGAAGCTCCAGCGCTGGCTGTGGGTCCCTGCAGCGGCTGCGGGCTTATCTGCCTTGGCTGCTACAGAGAGCTCGACGAGAACAATATATACAAGTAAATTTATTTCACAGTGGCCCGCAGTTAAGATGGTGGATAAAAGTTAATTTGGTTAGTGTTTGTTCGATAGGCCCAAAACAAAGAACAAAATATGTTTACTTTGACCCTAATGGTTTAACCAAACCAATAAACATATTCTTTAGTCTAATAATATATTTATACATTTTTTTATTACAAAAGCTTACCATCGCTAGCAAGGCCATAATGTATTTAATAAAAAAAACTATAGTAATCAAACCAGGTTAAACTTGATCACTTGAACTAATTCTGTAGTATTCCACAATTCACTCATGATAATATAATGTATGCAACCTTCCTATACTTCCAGATGTACAGGTTGTAACTGGCCATTGTGCAGTAAGAGTTGCCCAGGTGTAGGGTATTATACTGGACACTCGAGCTACGAGTGTGAAGCTTTAAAGGACTCGTCACCAAGCTACGCGAACATTGAGGAGCTGAAGGAATGCTACCACGCCCTCATGCCATTGAGGCAGGTACACACACACATTTAATTAAATATTTACATATCCTTTGTAGCATAAAAAAGTGCGTACAAAGTACACATGTCAGAAGTGAAACTTCTTTGGAAAACTAATTTTTTAACTCTTGTTCATATTTATACAAATCTAAAACTTTAGATTTCCGAGACTTAGAGGGAAGGAAAAAGGAAGATATTTAGGAATTTAATTGTCATTAAAATATTAAAAGTGTCGAAAATTAATGAAAAATTATATATCTGTTTAAATTTATTACTTCGATAATAAAAACACGTGGCATTTTAATTTACAATTCGTCATTTGAGATTTCAATAAATTATTTTGCATAAAATATAAAATACTAGTAATTAAATACTAGTTCATAACTTCTCTTAACGAAATTTTAATTTTAAAAATAGAATTTCTGTAAGGTAATTCGCCCTTCTCACTCTCTCTCAATCGGTCTCAATCGCTCTCTCCCTTTTCTTTGACAATAAACGCTGCACATTTTCTCTTCTTTTATAGAATTTTACGGAACGTAGAAACGTTCCGTAAAAAAATTACACTCATGCGCCTAAAGAAGTTTCACTTCAAAAATATCATATATGTATTTTAAAACTTTAATTGTATGATTATAACTGCATCAGTATTAGTGGTAAAATTGCGATTCTCAATCCTAAGGTCGTAAGTTTGAGCCCCGGATGTACAGCAATGGTTTATAATTATATGTGGGCAATGTGGTTACGGAAGAAATGTTAGAAATCCCTTAAACCCAAAAATTTAATGCGTTTCTGGCACAGAGGGTATTTAAAGATTTTCCTTACCCTCAAAATTATGAATGGAGCAGATGCTAAGGTGACGACCTGTGAAGAGTTGTAATTCTACTCTTCTGTATTATAAGTTGCTACCGCTGAATCCATGAATTTTGGTACCCGAATTCCAGATGCCTTCTTCTCAAAACGGCGGACCTTGACAAGTGGGAAGGGGTCATAGCCATGGAGGCTCACAACGAATTACGCAAGTCCCGGGGTGACATATGGCCGGCAAACGAGAGGAATGTTGTCCAGCGGTTGAAGAGCTGGGGTTTCGAGTTCGATGACGTGGAGATACACACTGTTTGTGGGATATTGGAGGTATTTTTTAGAAACCTTGCGTTCCCCAGTGTAAAACTTATATAGAATAATAGCTTTTAAATGAAATCCTTTACAGCATTACCACAAAAAGAGGGGAATAATAACATCAGTTTGATATTTTTAACTTTTTTTAAGCTTTAAGTGGCATCAGCGTGCGACTCTCATCCACCAATGTACTTTCTTTCTATGTGCGCATTTAACATTCGCTCGAACGGAAGGAAAATATCGTGAGGAAACGGGCTTGCCTTAGACCCTAAAAGTTGACGGCGTGTGTCAGGCACAGGAGGCCGATCACCTACTTGCCTATTAGATTGGCAAATGATAATTTATTAGATACAGAAATCTGAGACCTAAAAAAGTTGTAGCGCCACTGCTTGATTTAATTTTTTAGCTTGAAATAGAATGTTGGGTGCTTGAAATCATCTCAAGATATTATGTCAGAAAAGTTAAGATTTTGAAATACGGAAGTCGTGGTTCGCTATTTTGGTTACAAGATTTCATAACACAATAAAGTTGTAAAACTATAAAAGCCGACCGAAGCATAAATTTTAACAATCTCATTTGGGTTGCCCCAAATATACTTTTAAGCCATCCTCAAATCTCGACTACAATTCAGAATTCTATTAATAATTGCAATTACACTAAAACGTTATTTTTAAAATAGTTTCAAACAAAATTATTTATTTAGTGGCATATAATATATATATACGTATATATAACACGAGGTAAGCTTTATAGAACATCCGGCTTCGACCGAATTAATGTGGGTGACACCGCAGAGCACAGCTAGTACTATAGTGTGACGTGACTTATACACACAGAAATATGTTTTAGGAAATGTCGAAGGAAAACATGATGAATCAAGCGACTCTTTTCATGGTTCATTTTAATCTGATTTCTTAGGTCCATACTGGGACCATTATTTTATTATATGAGTGAATATAACTACTAATAATTTACTATACTATTTCTATACTAATTATTTATTATACTAATTCTTTAACCAAATACGACAATATCAATAGATTCACGAGTGCGTTGCCGGACTTTAAGTCTGTTCGTGAATTACCTTGCTGGCTATATATCTTCCAAAGATCATTTTACTATGTATTTCTTTTAGTGAACTAGTGAATGTGATGGATTCAGTCATTCAAAAGATGCAACGCACCCACTGGACAAATGTGTTTGGTTTGCGGTATATGCCTATTATAAAAAAAGGCTTTCATGAAGTAAATTTTAAAACTTTCATAATCGAAATCCACGGTTTTTTAATTTTAAAGACTACACCTCCAGGTGAACGCATTCGAAGTCGGCGGCAACGGAGCGAACGCGCGCGCGTTGTACGACGGCGCGTTCCTATTGGCCCACGACTGTACGCCGAGCACAACGCACACGGACGCAGAGCGGGCGCCCGGCAGACCTCTCACGGTCAGGGCCTCGGTGGCGCATCGGGCGGGAGACCTCGTATCGCTCTGCTACGCTTATACCTTACAGGTGAGGTAACATCAGTAACATTATTTTAACAGAAGGCCCTAAGTAGATTTTGTCATTTTTGCCGCCCTCTTTTAATTTGTCATTAGGGTAACAAGGGTATTTTGAATGAAGAAGGATGTCAATTGTCGATTCTTACTTTAGCACACGAACCCGAAATAGTAGGTGTTCCAGCGTAATAGCGAAAGGATACGTAGTTGGAGTTTACACCGCTGTCGCGTGCGCACATTTAACCGTACACCGCATTTACTCATTAGAATAATTAAGAATCCAGCGCTTGGAGTGGGACACCACCGTTGATGGTGAGTCTTAGTCTGATCGACTTCTGGATTCCTTTAAACTATACTGTCACGCTGCAGCTGAACTAGCGCGTATTATTTTACCGAGGGAAGGAAGTATCCCGAATACTGGATACCTATGACCATAGAGCAAATATTTTGTCATAAACTTATTTTTCAATAAATTTCTGGAAAACCTAACATACCTTCAGTTATTAACGAATAATACGATAATGTCGAAAAAATATATAATATGTAATAATATCGCGATTGTGAACTCACTTTGCGAACATACAAGTAAAGAAAAGCATGATACTCCTTCGTTACTCCATCAAAAGCAATTGTCTCGTCCTCCAGGGAACCCTAAAGCGTCGTGAGCACATCCGCCTGAGCAAGTTCTTCGAATGCCACTGCAGACGTTGTTCAGACCCTTCGGAGCTAGGCACCTTCGCGAGTGCCTTCCGCTGCCCCAGGTGCTCGGGCAGGATCCTCTCCACCGCGCCATTGGAGCCCAGAGCCCCCTGGAGGTGCCTGGACAGTGCATGCACCTACACCATGACAGCGGGGGGAGTACAGGCGATGCTCAAAAGGTACTTATTTTTTCGTTAAAGTTAAAACAATTAAAGGAAACAATTTTTTACCGGATTGAAGTTGATCAATAAAAGACAATACTAAAGTTAAAACAAGTTAAAGTTGTTGGCCTAGTGGCTTCAGCATACGACTCTCATCCCTGAGGTCGTAGGTTCAATTCCCGGATGTGCACCAATGGACTTTCTTTCTATGTGCGCATTCAACATTTGCTCGAACAGTGAAGGAAAACATTGTGAGAAAACCGACACGTCTTAGACCCAAAAAATCGACGGCGTGTGTCAGGCACTGGAGGCTGATCCTACTTTATTATTAGATTTAAAAAATGATCATGAAACAGATTCAGAAATCCGAAGGCAAGACCTAAAGAGGCTGTAGCGCCACTGATTTATTTTATTTTATTTAAAAAAAATATTTAGGATTTGTCTGTCACGTTTATTTTTTTAATACTTTCGTGTTTTTTTTAGTTTAGATTGAAAGAATATAATATTTTCGCAATAACCTTTATATTGGGATCTTTTTAACTATCAGTTTAATCAGTTTTAGAAGTTTTATCACATGATATTACCGGATTAAAATTCCTTAAATAATCAGAAATGCTATGTTCGCTTTAATTTAAAGGATTTTAACGCTAACGCATTATTATTAACTTTTAGTTAAATGTAATATGTAACGAACGTTAAGAAAAAAGCTTGACAGCTATTTCACACAATACATTCATAGACAAGAACTGCCCATAGACTATGAGGCATAACCAAATTAACACTACTTTGGACTTGGCCTGGTCTCCTTGACAGGTTGACAGAAGAATTGGAGCAAATAGACGCGAACGACGTAGAAGGCTTCGAGAAGTTTCTCCACAAGTACCGCAACGTGCTGCACGACAACCATTACCTGTGCCTGTCCGCGTTGCACTCCCTGAGCCAACTCTACGGCAAAATCTCCGGCTTCATGATCCACGAGATGCCGGAGTCCCAGCTGCACAGGAAGATCGAGATCTGCCGCGACCTGATGAAGGTCTTCGACGTCATCGAACCGGGATACTCCAGGTTACGAGGTACTGCTCTACTGGCTCGTGTTCGTGCTCGTCAAAATTCATAACATTTTCAAGTGTATAGTAAAATTATATTATATTTATTTCCAACACACGAATATACAATATTCTTTACATAGTAATAATAATTAATAAAAATAAAAGCAAATTAAAAAAGTTTGGTCCCCGTGGCAGTGTACCTTTTACGCTGGCATTTCCTCGCTTCCTCGCTGTATTGCAATACTTATTCATTGAGCAGAGCACTAGCTCTGGGGTCACCGGTACTCTCTACCAGGCGCCAACTTAAATCTTTAATAAGCGCCTGTGCACTTGAACCCCACGGCTCAAGAGTCTACTCCAAAGGGAATAAAATCGAAGTTTTAGGAAAGACTCTTATTATTTGAGCTGGCTGCGCTAGTTGTGCTCCTCCGAGGGAAATGAGACGGGGATAACGTCCACACAAGTAGCATCTCCTACCAAAACCCGTCCTATGTAATAAACAACATATCGATTTCCTCATAATAACTGTCCAATTAAACAGGTGTCAAACACACTGACTGACATGTCACACTTTGTATAGCTTATGTACGAACCTTCGTATACCTATACGATGTACATATGTTTTATTTTTATGTCATATAGATATATAAGTCGAATTTGTCTGTTTCTAAGGTATAACATTGTATGAACTTCACGCACCTCTGATGGTGCTAACCACGAGGGACTTCGAGAGGAAAGCGATCACCAAAGAGAATCTCAGGACCAGATTAAAAGAGGTGAGGAGAGATATCATAAACCGGTGGCGCTACGATCCTTATAAGCCTTGCTTTTTAGGTTTGAAATATGCCGGTTCACGGCGTCTTAAATGCAAAGGGAAATTCCTTGGCCCGGGATTTGAACCTACGACCACAAGGATGACAATACCACGCTTAAGAGACTTAGATGACAGATTTCCCTTAGCAACAATCTGTTGTAAAAACATTGCCAAGTATTGTTTTTGATGTTTAGATTCCCGGCAAAAGAAATATTGTTTGGTTCGGCTTATAACCAATATGTCTTCCTGCCACAATCGTTTTCTAATGTTAATTTCAGATCGTGAGTTATTTAACGGAATCGGCCCTAATCCTCGACTTCGAGCCGAAACAGTCCCCCGAGGGCCTCATGGCAACAGCCGCGAGGGACGCTCTGGATAAGATCAAGACTTGGGAACAAATTATTGGGAAAATATCATAATATTCAATTTAATGTGTCTTTTATTTTAATATTATCGTCAGAAAATCTAAAAAATTAAATCAGTTATTTCAATACATATCTAATGCAGTTTAAAAAAATATTAAGACCGTAATTAATAAATAATCAAATACTGAGGAATATTAAGATTGTTTTTAATTTAAATAAAACACTGTTCTAATCAAAATTAATTATCTGAGGTGGACTTTAGCTTGCTTCATTTCTACACTATAATGCGGTATGTTGTAAACGATGTTTGCATATAAATAGTTCTCGAATTATTGGCATATATACAGGGCGTGCCATGACTATGAAACATCAAGGGAAAGGTACCTTAAATATCGTAGATAGGATATTTTGCTGAAAGAAGACTTTATTTTGTCTTGTAAAGTAAGTATTCAATGATTTTCTAAAAATTACTTGTCTCGTCTGGGAATCGAACCGACTCAAATGTGAAAAAAAAACACACCTTATTTTTTTTGATGGCAATCAAGAGAATGAACACAAAATAATTATTCTTCTTAAGTAACATGTAATTATAATTTTAAGAAAGGAATAACGTAAAATGTTTACGTCAAATTTCAATAATTGTGTTTGGTCGTAAGAAAGCCCCAAATATTTGAGGTACTTTTCCCTTCATATCCCATAGTCTTGGGACGCCCTGTATACATATATTTTCTACTTACATCTTCTAATTTTTTTTTCTTTTCTATCGAATTAGTGTGAAACTGTAATAGAAAATAAGGTTAAAATAAATAAATGCTTCAAAAGCTTAACCCGTATTCTTGAAGTTATCGTGATGTAAGTCGGAACTATTTGTAAAATCGATTTATATTTATGTGTAAAAAAAATAATCATATACTTAAATACTCAATGGACTTCTAAGGTATATTCTGTATACAGTCTGTATACCAAAGCTATATACAATAATGTATATAAAATATTTATTTTTTCTTTCCTTTTGTGTATCAAATCTCGATATTGTCTTAAATTATTTTTTCTTGTTATTTTCGTGACCTTGTTGGATGTTATTAATGTTGTTTTTGTACCTAATTATAATGCATTAAAATGTAAAATATAATAATACTTTTAAAAGACAAGGTATATTTTTTGAACAATATATACTTTTCTGTACTTTCAACTAATAAATATACTTTGAGATAAAATATGTTTTTTACTATCCCAATTAATACTTTGTAAAACTGTATCGATCAGGATTTCAAGTTTTCACGTACAATCGTTTAGTATTCAGATTCCTGCATAGTACTATAATTACTTGTTCCGCCGTAAATTCAATGCGCGTCGAGTTTCAGGCGCAGTTATTTTTATACCAGAAGCATGCGCACGCGCAACGTGCCAGTATTCATTTGATAGTATTTATTTGCGGGTTATATTGTTGCTTTACAGTGAAAAGTGTGTTAACACCATAAATCAGGTAAAATGAGTAAATTAAATTAATAGCTAGAAGTCTAGCGAACAGTTTTAAGGAAAACATACGCAGAAAGTCATGTAGAAATCTTTTTTATTGTTTATCTACAGATATTTAAAATACACATATATTTTAAAATACCAATATAGTGTAAAAAGAATAAATTCTTATAGCATAGCATTCGAATCGTGGAGTTATGTGAAAAATTCTGTAGATTTTCGTAAAAGAAGTGTAAAATCATATCCCGTTTCGTTGCATTGCAGTAATGACACAGATCGGAAGCTGTGCTATCTGCTTAGCTCCGGCTGAGCAAAAATGTGGAAACTGTCAGTGGGTACACTACTGCTCAAGAGATCATCAGAAGCAGCATTGGAAGACACATAAACAGTATTGCACCCCCGCAACGGTGAAGACAGATGAGAAGTATGGAAGATATTTGGAAGCTACGCGACCAATCAAGCCAGGAGATGTAATTTTGAAGGAATCTCCCCTTATAACTGGCCCTGCTCAGGTAAGGCTGGTTTTCTATCTTGAAAAAAAGGAAAATTATTATTTAGTACGGATTTGTGTAGCTTTAATACGGTAATGGTAACAATACCTGTTTATAGATCTTACGGCCCAACTGTGAGTCGTTCATGCAATTATACTCAAGTAACCACGATTGATTAAAACATAGGTTAGTAAACACTGTTTAGAATCCAATTGGATCTGAGGTATTAATTTATAAATTGGATACTATTTAGAAATTTAATTTGTCAATTATTTATTACTATTTATATTTATTTACAATTTTCTTAACCTATAATATTATAATAAAGTAGTTTCGTCCCTGTAGGTCCATATTTACCACTGGCAGCATTTCCTCCCTGTATTGCGACACTTATTCATTGAGCGAGGAAAGCACCAGCTACCCACCAGGATCACCGGTGTTATCTACCAGGCGCCAACTTAAATCTTTCATTAGCGCCTACGCACTTGTACTTGAGTCTCTACTCCAAAGGGAACAAAATTGAAGTTGGAGGAAAGACTCTTATATTTGAGGTGTTTATTATTTTCCGCCTGCTCTGCGGCCGCCCCAGAGGGAGGAGAGACGGGGCAAACGTCACACAAGTAGCAACCCATACCAAAGTCCGTCCGGCTACTTGCCATCGTCTCTAGCGATGCCATAATCAATTTACTACATAAATTACTATATGTATGGTTTAAACTTTAATGATTTCACAATATTATGTTTCTATCATTTTAATTATAGGTAACGCCGCCCGTGTGCCTTGGTTGCTATAAGATGCTAGAAGAAGATAAAACAGTGCCATGTAATAAGTGTGGATGGCCCATGTGCAGCTCAGAATGTTCAGCAAGAGATGTCCATAAACCTGAGTGTTTCTATACGCAAAATAGAGGGGAAAAGGTAAGGTAACAAGATAATTCACTTTTATTGAATTTGTTTTAATAACTCTTAAGTAAAGGCAATCTTTTGATAAATTATATAAGTTTTATTATATACAAATATCAATCCCATGCACCAGGTCAAAATATCAACTTACGGCGTCCCACATCCAAACTACCAATGCATTACAGTACTCCGTTGTCTTTACCAACGTGACCATGATCAGAAGCTGTGGTCAAAGCTCCAAGCTCTCCAATCACATTGTGAAGATAGAAGGGATACAGACAAGTGGAACAATGATAGGAAAATGGTTTTAGAGTTTATCTGGAAATTCTTTAAGTTGGAGACGACATTTTGTGAGGAAGACATCATGAAGTGTTGTGGGATTATACAGGTATGCGTATGGAAATCGTAATAATTATGGTATCACTTTATCAACAATTAAGCATATATACGGTAGTGGGCTGATTAATTTTATAGAAAGCATTGTTAAGTGCCTATCTCATAACTAATCCGAAGTTTTGCTGGATTTTTTTTTGCTAAACATAAAGCAAAAATTAGTATTTTTTGTAAATTTGTGTTTATGTTTACCAAAATTTACAATTTTGAGCGGGTACCGCGTCACAGTTAACATTACCTCCGTAAATTTATTTAAATTAAAAATAGAACTAGTGTGTAAAAGAGGTTAAAACACGGGAACTATGACATTTTAAGCAACAGTTTCACGTAATAAGTTGTGAACAATCAATATAGTGTATTAAACAGTGATTCGTTAGTCGTGATCGAACAATTTGTTATCCGCCATACCGCGATGGACATTTCTCGTTTGGTTGTGGTTAAACATCAGAGTAATTGTTGCAAAAAACTGACATAAAATAGTGAAGTGACTTTTAAAAGTGTCTTGTGCTAATCAAGTACTTTAAAATAAAACCTAAACACTGTTTTGGACAAATCGTAATTGTATTATATACGATTTATTCGCAAGTCAAGTAATGAATTGGTTAGCACTTGTAACAAGTTGTTAGGAACACCATACACACTGTCGATTGTGGATCAAATCCTGGCGCGCACATACCTACGAAACGAATACTTTTTATTTTTTTTTATTTTATAATATTCCAAGATGGATTGTGGTAAATGCCTAAAAAATGCCTCTGATACTGAATTGATTAAATGCACATCTTGTCTCACGGTGTTGCATTTCTTCTGCGCTGATCTATCTGAAGCTGATTTTAAAAAAATTCTACCGATGAATAGGAAAAAGTGGAAGTGCTCGGCGTGCAAGAGCAAAAAGATTGCTCCTACTTCATCCGTGTCGCCGAAAACAAGTTTAGCATCATCATTAAACGTCGATACTGAAATGCTGACAAAATATATGGATACTAAACTCGCAGATCTGAGGCAGCAATGGCGGGACGACCTCAACGCTGCAATTTTCGAAGTGACGCGGAAATTTAGGGATGACATAATCTCTCTTGAAGCTCGTATGAGTACCTGGGAGGGCAGACTGTCGCAAGTGGAAGATCAAACGGCTAACAATGAATCTTTGCCAAACAATTTTATCGACAAGCATCTTTCTAATGAAAATCTGATCAATGAGGTTCGAGATCGCAATCAAAGGGAGAAAAACCTCATAATTGCAGGTATACCTGAACAAATAGCGATCAACGCAGAGGAAGGACCGTTAAAGGATGAAGATAAGATAATACAACTGATTTCCACCATAAACCCCAGTCTACCAAAACCCCTTAAGGTCTTTCGTATAGGAAAATTTAATCCAGGCAAAAACCGTAGAATCAAAGTTTGTTACGAAACAAATACTACGGCTAAATACTTATTACGTAACAAGTCTAAATTTCCAGAAGCCATTAAAATTTATTCAGACTTAACTCCAGCTCAGCAAAAATATTTGCAAAATTTAAAAAATGAACTAGTGCGACGTCAGGCTGCGGGAGATACTGACATCACTATTAAATACAGATCTGGAATACCCACTATTACCAAAATGTCTCCAAAAAACTCGAAGTAACAAATACAACCAAACGCCTCAACACAGATACAAATACCTATGAAGTTTTGCAAAACCATAATCAGCTACAACCACACAAGTCACGCTTATCGTTTTTATACCTTAATGCTAGGAGTATCCGAGCAAAAGGCAAATTTAATGAACTCAAATGCATTTTAAAAACAATTTCTAAAACTGTTCATATCGTACTCATTACAGAAACATGGATCACTAATGAAACTCAGGCCCAAGAGATGAGTCTACCAAACTATACTCATTATTTCAATTATAGATCGGATTTTAGAGGTGGTGGAGTCTCAACTTATGTCCATAACAGTATTAGACATAGTTTGTCGGAGTCAACATATAAAGATGGCAACAACTACCTATGGGTCAAATTAGACAGATATGCCACCGAAATTGGACTTGTGTATAATCCTGGAGATACAAACTTCTCAAAGTTTTTGGAAGAACTTCGCTTGCAACTAAGAGAAAGAAAGAGGGCTGTAGTCTTTGGGGATTTTAATATAGATCTAGTGAAAAAGAATGAAAAACAAACTAAGCAGTATATGGATGTAATGGACGAGGCTGGATATAACATCATAAATAAAATTAGGAAAAAATATTGTACACGTGACTCGAAAACACGTAAATCAATAATCGACCACGTGTGCTCAAATTTAAGAAGTGACCGTTTTCATATGGCATTTATTGAGACAGGAATGTCCGACCATAGGCAACTTTATATCGAGTTAAAAAAATCCAAAGCCCCGCAGTTAATATACTCTGAATATGAAGCCATTGACTATGCTAAATTTAACAAACTATTCACGACCTACAATTTAGATGTAGCAACACTTGATTATTCTTTACTAGAAGATACGATTAAGGACTGTGTAAGGAAATGCAAACAAGTAAAGAAAAAGATACTTAATCCACCTCAGAAAGATTGGATAAGTGGAGAAGTCATTAGTGCAATTCACTTTAGAAACCAATTATGGGCTGAACTAAAAAAGATCCTACAAATATAGTTGTTCAAGCACAATATACTACTACAAGAGATACGGTCAAAAGGAAAATAAGGGAAACTAAAGATAATTACTTCTCCAACGAATTTATTAAACACGCTAAAAACCCTAAAAAAATGTGGAGTCTAATAAATAAATTGGCTAGTAACAAGCTAAATAAAGATTGCACACCTTCCAAACTTATTATAGACACTAAAGAGTTAACTCAAACAACCGATATTTGTGCTGCTTTTAATACATACTTTTCTACCATAGGGCTAAAACTAGCCAATGAAATACCAACACAATTTCACATTAATTTTACACTAGCACTTCCTCAAAGTCTTAACTCTAAACTATCTAACTTTAATCCATGCCCAACACTTGAAATCACTAATATAATAAAAACACTAAACACGAATTGTAGTAGTGGAATAGATGGGATCAATACTAAAACAATAAAATGCGTAGTTGATCATATTTCTGAATATCTCTCGATCTGCTTTAATAAGCTGCTGCATAATGGTGAATTTCCGGATTCTCTTAAAAAGGCCAGAGTTGCTCCTATCCATAAATCTGGCCCCAAAACCGAACCCGGCAATTACAGACCAATATCTATTCTACCTACAATATCAAAAATATTAGAAAAGATTATTTACTCACGACTTGACACTTACTTGCAAACTAACAATTTCATTTTTAAACGCCAATATGGTTTTAGATCAAAAAGCAGCACTTTATCAGCCACAGCCGATCTCGTTAGCGACATAAAACAAAATATTGACTCTAAGAAAATGGTGCTGGGTGTCTTTATTGATCTGAAAAAAAGCGTTTGACACCGTAAGCCACAACTTATTGCTTAAAAAATTAGAATGCATAGGAATAAAAGATCGTGCACTAAAATTATTCAAATCATATCTATCAAACAGAACCCAGATAGTAAAAATAGGTAATGCTCAAAGTTCAGAAATACCAATAACATGCGGCGTCCCACAAGGATCTATATTAGGTCCATTGTTATTTTTAATATATATTAACAACATTCACGAACTCGGTTTACACGGCCGAATCACTCTCTACGCTGATGACACCTGCTTATTTTACTTTGGTTCAAATATCCAGACTATGGTTGCTCAAGCTCAATCAGACCTAAATGTTCTATCTTCTTGGTTTCAACAAAATCTACTAACAATTAATATTTCAAAAACATCTTATGTAATATTCAAGGCAACAAATAAACTCATTCCTATCTTTCAACCGCTTAAAGTTCAAGACGTTGAAATCAATAACAAAAAATGGGAGAAATATCTGGGTCTTAGAATGGATACAAGTTTAAAATGGAACTTTCATATATCACACATAATTACCAAACTAAAATCACTTATAGGCAGATTTTGGTCAATATCTAAATGCATTCCGCAATCTGTACGTCATTTGATCTATAATTGTTTAGTCAAGCCACATTTCATATACCTAATTGAAATATGGGGTACAGCATGCAAAAACAAAATTTCTACAATACAAACACTACAAAATAAATTAATAAAAGCACTATTCAGATACAATTTTTTAACACCTACTAATAAAATCTACCAAGAAACTAAAATTATGACGATTAAACAACTATATGTTTATAGCACCTGTATCCTTATTAAAAAAAATTTAAATAACTCTCTACATAGTAACTTATCATTTAATAAAATCAAATACACCACTACACGCAATACTCGTCGAGCGAGTTTGCTTATCTTGCCAAAGCCGCGCACAAATTATTTAAAGAGATCTATTAGGTATGAGGGTGTGCAATTGTTTAATCGGTTGCCGTCTAAGCTTCGTAACATTAGCGTGATTGATCAGTTCAAAAGGGCATTAAAGACACACATCAGAATGGGCCCATTAGACTAGAATTGGGCTAGCTGATGGCGACGTGTATCTCGTTCGTATATATACTTAATATTAAATTTCTCATGTAAATAAAAAAATAATTTTTGTAATGAGAAATAAAGTTCTTTAAACATTAAACATTAAAATTGTTATATAGTATGTATATATTTTTGAAGAAGATAGCTTGTAACGTATGATGTGATAAATTTTAACAAAAAAATAAAGTAAACACGATATATCCACATAGTGTTTTTGTTATGATTTTCGTTCATTACATATTTAATAGATGGAGTAATAAAATGCTTGAAAGCAAGTAAAATTATTTGGTTAATTCAGATAAATGGACACGAGGTACCTCTTCTTGAGCCGGAGTACGTGGCTGTGTTCGATAAGATATCAATGGTGGAGCATAACTGTCGTGCCAACTGCAACAAAAGCTTTACATCCGAAGGAGATATTGTAAGTCAAATTATAATCATATTTGTTTCCTCGGGTAACGGGTCAACTGTGTGACAATACCGCTTGAACTTATGGATAAATAATACTGTCTAATTTATTTATCTACTAATTAATCAAAGTATAGGCAGCGGCACGTAAGTCTAGCGCTGGCCGATACGTGGAGGGGATTGCTGCGCATGTGTAATGTCGCGCACGCAATACATTATATGCCACTTTAATTAATGATTACCTAAATAACGATATTAAGCTGAACGAAATGTGAAGGATAGTTGCTGCGCATGATTACTGTCGTGCATGTAAGTAATATTACCTATCTATAAGATATAATAAGACAGTAAAAAAGTGTCTGTACATAGAACGTATTTCCAAAAAAGACCTAAGATATTTTAACAAGTTTATGGGATGTAGAAAAATAAAAACATTATCTTTTAATTTGTAATCTTTTATTAATCTGAATCAGAGAACGGTATCACGCCTTCAATGGTCTCGCGACAAGGCCTTTTGCTTACTGAGGGCCCGGGCTCAGGACTGCTTCGTTCGTCGGCACTAGCGTCATCTTCATTGCTATTCACTGATTATACTATTAAATTTTATGTTTCCTGCCTTAATGATTTCGGCAGTTTGTTTTATCTGGCTCAAATTTACAATGTTGCTGTCCGAATGACTGAACAAAGTATTTGTAGCTTCGTCAATCTCACTTTGGATTTGTTTCAAAGAATGAATTAATTCGTTAGATTCCCTTTTTAAAAAACAATTCACGTCATAAACCATTTTCCTGGCTTGTCTTTTCAAAACAGTATTTGTTCTAGGCATATTCACTTTAAAGTCACAAACAAACTTAAAAACAAATAACAAACAAATTCAAACGTAACGACAGTAACAATAATATTAATGACGCGACTGTACACGGGATGTGCGTGGGGCGTCGTATCGGTGCGGGGGACGGAATGCGACTGGAGAGCCAATCGACGCTACGCGCGCCCGCTCTTCATTCCGCTAGCCCCCCTCAGGTACCTTATTTTTTTCCTTCTGCGCAATAACGGTCAGCGCTAGAGTTTTGTGCCGCTACTTGTATGTACCATTGCTATCTATGCTCTTTTGCCATCTTATAGGTAGTTAATTGATCCCTTTACTAAAAAAAAACATTCGACGGAAATCAATAAAATCTTTGAAGGCGGTTTCGACTGGCCCATCAGAGTTGCATTTTGTACCTTGCAAAAAGTTATCCAGATTTCGAAAAAAATGGTAATCTGTTGGAGCAAGGTCCGGTCTTAGACATTCCAATTGAAATAAAACGTCAATTTCATATGTAATATCAATCCGACATCTTCCATATGGGTGGATCAATTTCTCACAGATTTTCATTAACTATATCATCATAATAAAAATCAGCTTACTATGTGTTCCAGATCCTATGTGCAGGGTCTCCATTATCACCCGGCACACATATATCAGTGTGTTACACCGACCCCTTGTGGGGAACAGAGGCAAGGCGTCATCACTTAGCTGACTCCAAGTTCTTCGAATGCACCTGCGAGAGGTGTTCCGATGTCACAGAGTTTGGAACTATGTACAGCGCTGTTAAGTGCAAGAAGAAGTAAGCTGTTTTATTTACAGTGTTTACTTAACTGATTGACTTGATGACAGAGCAGTGTTGGAGTAGTGGTTTCAGCGTGAGACTCATCCATCAATTGAATTTCTCTCTATGTGCGCATTTAACATTCGCTCGAACGGTGAAGGAAAACATCGTGAAGAAACCGGCTTGCTTTAGACCCTAAAAGTCGACGGCGTGTCAGGCACAGAAGGCTGATCACCTTATTGCCTATAAGATGAACTAATTATCATAAAACAGATATAGAAATCTGAGGCCTAGACGTAAAAAGGTTGTAGCGCAACTGATTGATTTATTTAATTTTTTACATCAAGAAACGGTGTGACCCTCAATGCGTGATGGCTTTTATCTTTCTCTCTCTGTCCGTAAATCAGCTCATATTGATCAGATGATGTTTACCGTACAAGCTAGTGTTGTATTGTTAGTCTGTGTACAAATAACGTCTATTTGTACACAGACTAACAATAAATCTTTAATGAAAATAATAACTGTATTACACAATATATATTACAAATACAATTAAGATAAATCTTTTCCAAATAATCAAACACGAGACGCTTTAAGCATCTTATTTTTTCTTTACTTCAGGAACTGCAAAGGCTACCTCTTACCAGAAACATTCATCCTTCCCATACTACACAAGACAACATCCCCGGACCCAAAGACACGTGGTTTGGACAATAAATTCTGGAAATGCCCGGTCTGTGAGGACGCGGTCTCAGACGCCATCATACAACAGCTTTTGCAAGACATTGGCAAAGAACTGAGCGCTCTGCCCAAAGAAGACCCTGATGCTTGCGAGAGGTAACACACAGCTTTTGCAAAACTGTCATATATACGACTGTCATTGTATCAAATAGAAATCTAAGAATCCTTTATTTTAATATCACAGTGTTTCTTTATATTGACTATTCTTCCCCGTATCTTAGATTTATCGAGCACTGCAGCGGCTACCTCCATCCATCCCACTACTACATAACGGACGCTGGACTTGCTCTTGCGCAGATGATAGGCCAGCAACACAGCCTTGGCCTCGCCGGTGTCTCCGACGACCGCTTGCTGCTCAAAACCCAGCTCTGCCGGAAAATAACAACGTTGCTGGAGACCTTAGGACCAGGTACATATGTCTTTAAAATATCTGACAAGAAATAAACTATTTTATTTTCATTTAAATAATTAAGAAGGCATGGCAATACTAGTTAGAAGAAACTGTATTGCTAAAAATTTATGTTTTAGTTACGTATCTCAACTATGTATGCGAACTTGACTTATGAGAATGAGCTTGAAAATAAATGTCGTTACGATAATTGCAGGTTTTTACTCGAGACTTGAGTGTTTAGTTTCAAATACGTCCACGCGCTGCTTTAGTTAATATTAGGTACTATCACAAAACTGCATCTTCTACCGGATTTACAAAGGAGAGTGTTCAGAGGAATTGTTTCGGACTAATACCTGCAGCTCAGTTTCATCATCGGACGTCAAGGCAGAATACCACCCGTATCAACTCGACTTCCGTAGTTCCACAACTTAAGGCAGTTTCGCGCACCACCACTATGTGGAACCAGCTGCCCACTGAAGTATTTCCGAACCAATTTGACTTAGGGTCCTTCAAGAAAAGAGCGTACCAATTTTAAAAAGGCCTGCAGCGCGCTTACCTGTCAGTGTATGTCCTTGGGCGACGGAATCACTTAACATCAGATGAGCCTCCTGCCCGTTTGCCTCCTGTAACATAGTCAAAAAACCTGAACTCCTGCTATATGATGCACAAATAAAAGGCGGACTTTAAAGACAACTACATGTACTACTACTAAAGGACCAAGAGGAGTAAGGAGAAGAGGGCGCCCTAAAAAAAGAAGGATAGAAGAAACAGAAGCGTTAGCAGAAACCGAATGGAGAAAACAAGCCATGGATTTGGAAAAAGGCCTACAGAATTTACTTAAAAAAAAGTATATAACAAATCTAGATTATATGCTACTTTTGTAAATGAATAAGCTTTATTAATATTATTATTATTGTAAGCTCCTGCTCTATCTTCTATATTTGTTCTTATTTAGCTGAAACTCGTTTGCGCGGTTCTTTACTGTTCGAGCTCCACGCCGCAGTCGCGGAGACGGGAAGGAGAAAATCCCTTCTCGATGGACCGATGGTGATGCTGGGATATGTTACGGTTAGTTTTTCTTTTCTTTTCAATTTACAGCATAAAAAAACACTAACACTGAGAACACATAAGTATTCATTAGATTTTTATTATTACAATTTGAACATAATTCTTGCGCGCCTATATTTATTTATAAGTCCTAAAAGAACATGTATGCTTAAAATATACAAGAAAATATGACTTCACAAATTTTACACATTTATCTTAGAACATAACAATTTCAAACTAGAATTATGTAACCTAACAATAGTTAAGTTACATACATATAATATATATTTTAGTTAATAATTAGAAGCACAAACCAAATTATAGCAATCTTCGCACACTTGATGCCAACACTGATAAATTGTAATATAACATTCTCGTTTCCGATAATGTCCAATAGACCACACTTATATTCTTTATATGTAACATAGTGACACTCACTTAGATTTAAGAACCCTTAAACAAGCCAAGTTAGTTTTTTGTGACCGTCACAACCCCACTACCCTTAATTTATGTAAGTTATAAGCTCATGTTCTAAACTATAAAAGCAAGTTTAGACCCAGCTTCAAACAAAGAGTAAGAGTAAGAGCGAGAAAGCCTATTCACTGGACCATTAAAAGTAGGAGATAAGCGAGCCGTAAGTACGTATAGAAGACTTTAGTTCTAGTAACTCTAGGATTACAAAGAAAGGAAAGTCATGTAATATATTTGTGTAAAATAAATGTATTTTTTTAATAAAATGAGTATATACACAGATCTGTAATTATTTACATTTTAATCACACCTTTCACATTGTCTTCTAGGAATCTCGTAAAATCCTCTCCGAGTCAGCAAACCTACTTCGCCATGAGCCCGTGGAGTTACCAGAAGGTCAGGTGGCTCGGCAGGCCAGGATTAACCTGATTCAAATGGATGACCTCATAGAGAAACTGTCGAATGCTCTCCCTTCGCCACTCTAGTTGTTCTTTCTGTTTACTAGTAAATGAAAATTATGTTGAATAAATTATTTATCAGTTAAATGCGTTTTAGTTATATCAAAGATGTTTTTATATAGAACTGGACTGCCATCGGACGTCGAGAAGTAACGACCCCATCGCTCACTGGTGAAAAATAATTTTCACCATTTCCGGTTAATTTTATGTAAATTAAAAGAACGGATATAAGGCTATATCAGTAAAAACATGCATTAAAATGTTTAAAGAACTTAATTGCTCATTACAAAAATTTATTTTACATTAAACTTAATATACTATACGAACGAGATACATATGTATCATTAAAATATGATACATTAAAAAATATAGGCTCATTCTTATATGTATCATTAAAATCAGAACTTAATTACAGCGCATTAAATCAATTAATATATATGTTTAGTGTTAAATTGTTATATGTATATAGTATTATATTTTTTTTACTAGTTCTTTTTCTCGTTCTTTATAGTTCTTACTAGCTAAAGCAGCAGAATTAATCGCCTTTTCAATTATGTGGGATTCAGAATCGACACTTAGAGCTTACTATGAGTTGAGTATGTCTAAATATATCTAACAAGTATAATTAAACTCCCCAGTGGTTAATAAATAAATAAAAGGCGAACCCGCTGAATCCATCCAAAATGGATATCCATATTAGTATTCAGAATTCTGTCCGTCAAGTGTCTTTACGACCTTATTTCCCAGATTAGAGCCTCCCGAGTGGCGTGTTGGCGAGATGCGAACTCGACCGTGCTCAGAATACGTTTAATCCAGTTATATCGAGTTAATTGGGCCACTATTGGTTCTCGGAAAGTGTCCACTATGACAAGTAACTGTAACCTCTCGCGAGGAAACGTCGGCCAACTTAAATCAACTCAAAAACAAATATTTATTTTAATGGACTGCTCAAGTAGTTCAGAGCATCCGCTGTTTTTGTCATAATAAGTGTAAATCTGTAGTTAAGAGTGCCTTATCCATGTTTCGATTATGGGACGAATAATACAGTTAACCCGTTAAAATGTTCAGAGGAGACAGGGAAATGTATCCACTCATTGCTATATTTACCTGGAGAAATATTATAGGAGTAATACTTGCATATATAAGCCCCATGCCAATTGGGGAATAACGAATATTCAGATAAAATAGAATCGCAGATTGTGGTATTACTCGTAGTATATTATCATATAATTGACATACTTATACTGATTACTTAAGTCCTTTGTGAGATGAGGGTTTTCCAGAAAAGCAATTTACAATGTTGTTCTAATCTAAAGGGTAAAAAGCTGGAACAAAGGCAAAATATATGTACGCTTTCTAATGAATAATATAATATATTTCATATCATATAGGTTTCAATGCAATTTAAATTAGTTTCTCATCAAATATTATCTAGTTTTTATCCTAATTGAAATTCTTATACAAAATGTAGCGAATAAATTATTAATTGTCATATCAACCTGTTTGTTGGTTGTAAGTAGTTTCCATTTTCATGTGGTAGGTCTAACATACCTGTACTGAGTTTTATCTTACTGAATGTATATATAGTAGATGAGTTCCCAGCTCTATCGTACATAAATGATCAAAAGTTGAAATGACAACAAAAGTAACCAATTGTTCTATGTAATATTAAGTGATTACTAATTACTGCTAGAATACGCCATATCAAGTTTTATAATTTCAAATTAAATATTTATGTTTATTTTCTATCATAACACTGTTTCTTAAAAGGCCCGCAACCGAGCCCTTTGGCATTGAGAGTGTCCATGTGCGGTGGTATTACTTAATATTACGTGAGTCTTCTGCCCGTTTGTCCCCTGAATCCTGATCTATAAAAAAATCTCTAATTCAATAGAAAAAACTTTGACATTATTTAAACAAGATTGAACTAACCTGTCTTTGATTTACACAATTTCATAGCTCAATTTTGAATGTCTAATTTATAAACTAAAATATATGGCGGCAATACGGCAACTTAAAGTTTCGGAAAAGGCCCGCGGGTGAAGAGCGAATATTAAGAAATCCGTCATACAATGCAGGCTACATTGAAATTATCACTAGTGCAAATATTTTCATAGTCGTGACGGTGTATCATCATACTAAAATTTACTTAGAGCAATCGCAACTCGACTGTGGGCCAACGAAGGCTAAAATATTGAACGTTTTCATTAATTATTATTACGATGTGCAAGTGAATTGTGAAAGTGAAATAAATGGAATGTCCTGAGCAGATACTTTATTTGTTAAGAATTAAAGACTGCTACGATTTATCTGAACGTAAAAACGACGGTAAGATTATTAACTAATATTTTGAACAAACCTAAATTACATTTTTCGTGTTATAACTAATATTCTACGTCCCATTTTTATCTAATCTTATTCACCTTCACTTATTTGTTAATTTACACGTTTTGGAAAAGTATAAGATGGTAGTAGGATAATAATAACCACTTGGCAGTCAATAACTATTAAATGTAATGATTTTTCCAACATCATCATCATTCAACATAATAATAAATTTTTTTGATAAAATATTTTATATAAATCTTGAATAACAGCGAACTTATGCGCAGCAAGTGATCAGCATTGTTTATGACTGGACATGTTTGCGTGGTTACTTAAGTAAAAATTTAATAGGTTGAAAGGTACTTTTAATAAATTATAAATAATTTAAGTAAATAAATTTCTGAGGCATTGATATGCGCCACAGTCATGTACTGTTATTTATTTTTATTATTAGCTTATAGGTACCTCTACTTGATCTCATGTTATTGATGACTGAATCTAAAATGGCGGAAAGAAATGTTTTGATTGTATAATTCAAGCTATCAAATTCTATCACTACACGAGCCAAGGCTGTACATTTTGCTCACTCAGGCTTTCTTAGTTTTATAAGCGTGGCGAATTCCTAAATCGTCGGAGTTACGTCTCGAGAGTATAGCCAGATGTAGGCACTCACTTCAACTGCGTTATACGTTGCGTTCATTCGTTACATAGCAATTAACATTTAATTATTTACTTAGAATATAAGTTGTAGCGCGTCGTTAATATAGAGTAAAACTAAAATCCTCTATTATTCAGAGCACCCCGATTACCCAGGATCCCTTCATTTTGATCCTTCGAGCCGGGTTTGAACTAGCGACCTATGTACGAGCCAATGCTGTACAATTACAATTCCAGTGCTGCCAAATATTATAATTTATTGCATTCACTTTTTTATCCATGTTGTCTAATTTCATAATTTCATTATAGTATGGGAGACACAGATATACTAATAATTTTGCTAAATGAAAATTTCATCAGCATCACCTTGATAGCTGGAAGTCTTCCACGGTCCGCTTACAAGACACTTTATTGCGAACTAGGGTTCGCTAGAATCGTGGAATCGACTTCCGATGGGGCTCTTTGACTGGCATCCTGTAGACTCGTTTGCCCTCTATAATATAAATAAATAAATCATGTAAATGGGCGGGCTTGTTGCTGAAAACAGTTACTGATAAAAATAAATGCCACAAAGAAAATTTATTATGGAACAATATAAATTAGCCAAGGTTTCATAAATGCACGAAAAAAATTGTCTGATTGTTGTTTACGATATTGATAAGAATCGTAGCATTTTAAAAACAAATAAACGTGCAAAAATCTAAAATAATCTTTATCACGTAGTTTCATCGTGTCTATGAAACGATTATATTCCATTTATATATTGCTTGAGAACTTTGCGCATAATATGACAAAGAGAAATAGAAATTGTGATGTTTCGTAAACCCTCAATCCAGTGGTCATATATTTTCATCACACTCTCCCCTTAAGAGCTTAACATCAAAAATGTTTGATTAATTTTCCCTCGTTATAGAAAACTGTACGTGAAATGCCCACTTTCCTTTGGCTCATACTGTCTTTCACCCTCAACGTGAAGAGTAACATAATGCAAGACTATGAAACTATCAGCGTCAATCTGTTGAGCCCGCCTGTAGACAAGACGAGCCTGGCTCTGCCCCTCGATGTGGGAAAAGACAAGGTTTCTGGCTGCCTGTGTCGAGGAACTATGGATAGGGAGGTCGTTGTATGTTTCGGGAACTATGAATGCAAGAGGTTTCCAAAGGTCTGTATCCTACCAAAAATAATATATATCATACTACAAACTGAGCAGTGTGGGCTTCAATGTGCGACGCTCATCCCTGAAGTTGTAGGTTCGATCCCCGGCTGTGCACAAATGGATGTGCGCATTTAACTTTCGCTAGAACGGTGAAGGAAAACATCGTGAGGAAACGCAGGAAGGCACAGGCTGATTGCCTATTAGATTGACAAATGATCATGAAACAGATACAATAAATCTGAGGCCCAGACGTTAAAAGGTTCTAGCGCCTCTGATTTTTTATTATACTAAAAACTAAGTAATATTATTAATACTGTATATTTGATTGTTATGTTTAGATTTTCATAAACAATAATTTATTAAAAAGTATGTTGTTTGAGAAGTATAGATTGTGTATTAATGAAAAAGATATGCATCGAAGGTAGTTGTCAAATGGAAAAGTCTGATAACTTTGGTATTCAATAGTTTCGTTAATTTTGATTTGTTAGTTTTATTGACGAAGTCGACAAGTCAGCAAGTGTTTTAAGGCAATATAGCAAAAAGAGGTTTTCAAAGCATTAGAACAGAATAAAGTATTATTATTGCAAAAATATAATATAGGTATTCGCTGGATGGGATGTTTACCGTTTAGAAATATATCTTACCTAATTGTTATCAAACGTGAGAAAATATAATCTCTTTAATCGCTTTGTTTGATATAAACAACCTCTGAAAACATCGAGAACGTCTCGTGAGTTTGTTTTTTAACTAATATATTTGATGACGTTTATTAAATTGATTACATACGATCTACGAACTACATAGAAGGGTCCACCCATTAAATGTGTAAATTAAGGCAAGCGAATATACAGTAATAAATAAAAAAAATACAATAATTATTTTTTAAATACATTACATACGGTATCAGTATGTAAACAATGTACAATAAAATTTTGCTTTCAGACATTGATATACGTTGATAATATTACCTCCAACAAAGGTTATCAGTTTAAAATTTCCACGAATTTAATGATGTTCTTAATTGTGATTATTAATTAGATAGCATATTTCCACATACTTAATGATTTCATCTGCGTTTCTATTTTCTAAACTCAATTTATAAATAATATACATATTTTCTTTTTCAGGTAAAACTGGAAAAGTGCAAAGTGTTAGTTGTGAGGACAACAATAATTTCAGAAATATTAATCGGGGATTTAGACTCATACAACTATGTCAAAGTGTTAAAAATTGATGGCAACAGTCGACTGGAATATCTACAACCAGGTTTATTTAAAAACCTATCAAACGTAGAAGAACTGTCGATATCATACAATACTCAATTACATTCTATACATCCAGACACTTTCACGGGACTCGTCAAACTCCATAATCTGACGTTAGCTAACAACGCATTCAAAAATATTGGTTTAATCACGCCAGCCTTTAGACCCACCGTCTTACCATCATTACGCGTCTTAGATATATCCGAAAATGCTTTTGGTGTAATTGCAGAGGATGCATTTATCCCCATGGAAGGCTCAAAACTTAGTAGACTTGTTATAAATTTATGTAGTCTTGACTATATTCATGCGAACAGTTTAACGAAATTAAAGGAGTTGAAACAGTTGCGTATTGGAGAAAATGACTTGTCTTCGGCGAATATAATTGGCTTTTTACTGGCGCTTCAAGCAGACAACATTAATTTAACACATTTGTGCCTATCAAGTATGGGGTTCCGGAAGAGGCCTCCAATGGACCTATTGAAAGTTATCGCGAACTCTACCATTTCAGTGCTCAGTCTCGCAGATAATCAATTTGAAGTTCTGGAAGATGATGATTTTCCTACGATGCCCAATATAGAATTACTAGATTTGAGAAGAATTTTTGTTATGTACATAGGAGCTTATTCATTCAGTCCAGTAAAATTCCCTAAACTACGTATCCTTCTGTTGAGCGAAAATAATTTACCTGGTATTCACGTAAAGCATATATCAAATCCACAAGTTCTGCTTCTAGATCTTTCATCGAACAAGGGCAGGCCAACAAGACCATTGTATTATGAAATAGACCGTGGGGTGTTTAATGATTGTCGAGATCTACGTTTTTTGAACCTTGCTTTTAACAGGTTAAAACATATGTACAACCATACCTTTACCGGATTAATAAACCTAAGAATACTTAACATGGAAAACGGGACTATTTTTCATATTGGAAACGGCACGTTTAAGCCTTTGAGGCGCCTGGAATTGTTAAATTTAGGAAATAATCCACTCACAGCAAACGAGAACCTTACAAGTGCAATGTTTGATGGGCTAAACGAGCTGAAGGTGCTTATTCTGAAAAATTGCGGAATTAAACGTTTTTATGACGATGATAACATCTTTGAAATGATGCCGAATGTCACCCATTTAATACTTACAAGTAACCAACTATCTTATATTACTCCTGAAACATTAAAACCATTAAAATACTTAAAGGTTTTAGATTTAAGTCAAAATTTATTTGTATCTTGGTGGCAAACTCTCTTTTTAGCTGCAGGCGTGCGTCCTTTAAAACTTTATTTAATGAACAACAAAATAACACATTTTACATTAAGTATGATAGGAGATATAGATTATTTATTAGAGAATTCTAATACCACTAGTGTTGAAATCGATCTCGCTGACAATCTTTTTATTTGCGACTGTAACGCTATGTACAGAACCTTTATGTGGTTGCAAGCGAATGGTTCTGTTGCTTTGCAAAGATATTTTCATACTTCTAATGTGCAGTGCAGTAGTCCAGATGTATGGGAAAATCGAAAAGTAGCGGACTACATTTTATCAATTAAAAACCGGCGCTGTCTAATCTATAATAAAATCACAAATATGATGTTACTAATTTGGACCGCTCCCTCATTAGTTTCCATAGCTCTTCTTATAATGATTCTAGTAGTTATTTATAAATATAGAATATACATAAGATACTGGATATTCTTAGCCAAGATAGCGATAGGACGAAAATTCATTAGATACTCAATCAAAACTAAAAGCGATCAGAAGGGTTACAAATACGATGCGTTTGTATCATATTGCAACGATGATAGACAATTTGTTCTAGATATGACAAAGGAGTTGGAAGCAAAACCTCCTTTTCTAAAACTTTGTATTTACGAAAGAGATTTCGAGATTGGTTCTTTTATATCCGAATCTATATTAGGTAGTATAAATGAAAGTAGATATATAATCTTAATTGTAAGCAATGCGTTTGCCAAATCTCAATGGTGTAGATGGGAGACCCATTTGGCGGAATACCACAGATTATTTTTAGAAGATGGGTCACCGTACGACCCGTTAGTATTAATCAAGATTGGGGAAGTAGATAGCAAGTATCTTACTACTACGTTAAAGTACTTGCTTAAGACAAAGATATACCATACGTGGGACGAACAAAATCCAGAAGACTTTTTTATCAGATTAAGAAATGTTTTAGTTAAAAATAAATGATTTCCTCGTAATTTCATCGTTTTCTTGAATCCGGAAAATCCCGGTCCATTACTTTCTCCACTCTCTAAATGAGTTGATATAAATAAAATTAAACGTCGGAGCGAAAGTGCTAAAAGCTGTATAAGTTTCCAATATGCATTAAGTAAATTTTTAGTGAAAGGGCTCCATGAACTTAATTGAAAAGATAATTTAGGCAAACACAGTTTCACTTTAAATATTACACGAACGCAAAATAATATAATATTTAGCACTTAAATCAATGTGTTAACAACATTTTCATTAAAATTTAGCTTTGAAATAAGTAAATATGTTTTAATTATATTAAAAAAAAAACAATGGCGCTTTTTAGATCTGGGACTCAGATTGCTCTGTTTCATGATGTTTAATTTCATTGATCTGTTTCATGATCATTTGGTAATCTAATAGGCAAGTAGGTGATCAGTCTTCTGTGTCTGACGCAGGCCGTCTTTTTAGGTCTAAGGAAAGCCGGTTTCCTCACGATGATTTCCTTCACCGTTCGAGTGAATGTTAAATGCGCATATATAATGTAAGTCCATTGGTGCACAGCCGGGGATCGAACCTACGATCTCAGGTATGAGAGTCGCACGCTGAAGCCACTAGGCCAACACTGCTCCCTATTAATATATTTTACTGGGACTTATTTTACAAGATAAAAAACTGGGTAAACCAAGTAATTTTTATGCTTAAGGTACGATTCCACCTAAATAGCGTACAGGACATTTGTTTACAAACATTTTGTGCAAAACTATAGCAGAACACGTACTAAACAGCTATCGCGTTTGGCTTCTGTCTCCAGCGGCAATGCTGTGTGTCAGTTTTGTAAGCGCAAAGTGTTGCACACTTGTTTACGAACATGTTCACTAAGAAGATTTCATAGTATAAGTATGTATTAACACTAACTACATTATAAAATGAATGAAAATGCCATTATATAATGTGTCAATTAGTAATCATAACAAATATAGGTATAGTATTTACAATTTTAGTAATAATAAGAATAATTAACAATTAAAAAAGAAGATTAAAACAAATTTTAAAAAGTTTGGTCCCTGTGGGAGTGTACCTTTAACGCTGGCAGCATTTCCTCCCTGTATTGCGATACTTATACGTTGAGCGAGGAAATCACCAGCTCTGGGGACATGCACAGGGAATATACATTTCGATTAGCTCCGTCCTACTGGATGATCCCCAATCCCCTGAGACAAGCTGAGGATAGAGTGGCGTAGAGGCAGCTAGCCCACGTAACGGTTAGGGATTTTCAAGACAGGCACAACCTTTAGTAATTCAAAATACGAAGGAGAAGAACCAGATGATTTTTATCTGGTGAGGCATAAGTCAAATTTAGTTTATTTGTCGTTTTAGACGTGATTCCTTATGACTGCCACTAAGTAGAATACTTATTCAGATAAAAGCCTCCTAACATTACAAGGAAATCTTTTGTTGCGAAATGTCAAAGCATACGCAATTGTTACAAGTTTCCGTTAATTGGGAACAAATGCGTTTGAATATCAATAGACATGGCTGACCAACAAGGTAAGATGCATGATGTAGTGATACGTATAGAAATCATATTCACTTCAAAAAGATAAGCGTACTGTGGAATTGAGTTCCCTACGACCTCCAATTGTTTAAAAAAAAACATGTGTGTGTACTTATTTATGTACACGCGTTAGAAGTTATACTTCTTTGGCGTAACAAGATAAAAATATTTAAATTTTTTATCGCCTTATTCTACATTTGTAGAAAAAACGACACTAATAATAGAAAAAAGGTATTTAATACATTGAAAGTGTTTTTATAAAGCATTATTAAAATATTTCTACATAATTAAAGAAATGGACATTTTTTATTTTAAAATGTTGACTATGCTACCTTCAGGGTTTCGGTTTTTTTGTGACGCTGTGCGCGCGCATAGTAAAAAAATACTCTCATCATTTTCCCCTAACGCGCCAAAAGAAGTATAACTTCAAAAAGTGCATACTCTTCGCATCCTCTAAAATTGGTGGCCATGGGCTTTTAAAATTATTTTACTTCTTTTTGGCGTTCATAAGACGTGTACTTGTTTACCTATATGAATAAAGTTATTTTGAGTTTGAGTTTGAGTGGGCAGCTCCCGCATCTGGTTCCACATAGTAGTGTTCCGCGGCAAAATCTGCCTTAAGAAACGCTCAGTTGTGGAAAAAACTTAGCCTGGCAACACTGCCTTAAAAAAGCTCATACGAGGTCCGTGAAAAGAGTAGATATTTGAACAAAAGAAGGGTCTTAAACATAAACAGTTTTAATGCTTTGTGATTCAGCTAAATTAACACTATACGTGTTTGTATAGAACTTGTGTAAATGGCATGTTATTGGCAATTACCGCACAAGACATGTCTGCGTCTGCAAACAAAGAATAGAAAGCGCCGGCGCACTCGCCATCGAATACTTTCACAAGGATACTTTCCATCTCTCGATATTTCGATTATCATCGTGGAAACTCCTATACCTAGTGTAATTTTAATGCGTTATATATGAATCAAAATTAAATAAGTTATGGTAGGTAATATTTTCCCTAGCAATATATATATATATATTTCCGGCTGCAACAATGTATTACAGCCATGGGTAGGCTGTAAATCTCTCACGAAGATTAAAAATGCATGGAATGAATGATGGATCGAACCCCGGTGCACCAAATGGGGTTTTCTATCTGCCGAAATCAATACTCAATCCTGATCCAATTTTCTCCATCTAAGATTGGTATTTGGGAAGAGTTTTGAGTTTTTGGGATTAAGCATGCTAATAAACTATATATTGTTTTTTTGTATGGAAGGAATGGCACCGTCAGGAAAACGGCCTGTCTAAGTATAAAAGGTATGTGACGATCTGTGTCTAAGAGTGCAAGATATTGTGAAAGTATGTATGGTTTTATGTCAAAACTGTATGTTACGATTTTGCCGGTTTTTCGATTGTGAGGAAGTTGCATAGATCTGGTCAGCGCTGTACTTTCTTAAGTTCTTGTCATTTACACAGGTGTATATATCGTTTATAATAAATATATTTTCATAAGATTGTCTTCATTTTAAAATGTGTGATGTTTGAGAACAGAAATATACGTATTACGTATGATACATACGTAGAATATTTTGTCAATTAATGTTTATAAGAAAATATTTTGTGCGTTGTGCTGTCTATTAAGTACATATTATTCTATACATATATTTAAACATATCTACATACTATATATAATTTGTATTAAAGTTGTAGTTCTTATATAGGTAAGTTACTTACTAGGAAATCTCTTATCTAGTTTTGAATCCTTATTTATTTATCTATTTATTATAGTAGTTGTAGTAACAGTTATTCTTATTATTTTATTTTTTTTATTTACTATACTTTTACAAACAAATCTTCCAAGACGTCTTTACTGTCACTGCTAATTTTTTACTATTATTATTATTACATTATTTTTCTTTTTTGCGTCTGAGGCGCAAACTGTTGTGGACTCTGGCAGAATGACCAACGACGTGGAACACGTCTGCTCCAGAACATAATGCTAAGCCAGGGCCAGGGCCAGCTACAACCCAACACACACACATTACACATTTAAAATTTACCTTATTCCTTTTTTCCATATTTTTTGTTATTTGATTATAATTATTATTATTTTTGTTTTGTGTGTGCGCGTTTCGTTTGTAATAAATGTTACGTCAGTCTGTTTGTAAAAGTACAAAAAGCGAAATGCTTAATGCACATATTTTGTATGTTATATGAATAACAGTACCACCTCGCAAATGAAGTCGTAAAAGCAGCAAATCGGTTTAAATCACCCAATAAAAGTTTACAGATACACTTAACATCGTTAATTAAATGTCTCATTAAAATTGATTAGCCGCTTTTAAGTAGTCGATCAGTCATTTGTTTTGGCGCGGGAGAAAACACTAGATTCATTGAAGACATCGTAACGGTGCCGTTTGCTTGTTTATGTTCTTCTCACACAGGCTAATTTATTATAGGTTAGAACGAGACGAAGCTATTAAAATGTCGCTCTGTGAACGATTACCGAGTGACCTACTCAAACGCTACATGGTCCAAGAGCTAGTGAACCCTGGGAGTAACGGTCTCCCTGTAAGGTTAGAAATTTGTATACTTACGATTTATGACATGCTAAGAGCAATAGCCATGACCTGGCAGGCGTCAGCCCTGCACGTCATCAGCCCCCCTTTTTTTTGGACTGTTAAGTAAATTGAGTTTCAAAACTTGTTTCTGTAAATTTGAAAATTTTATAGGATAAAGTTTATTTATTGTACATCTTAAAAAAAAATTGACAGGCGATTACAATAAGCAGAAGTATATGACAGATCAATTAGAAAACGTACAGTTGATGAGTTAAAATAAACTTTATCCTGTATACTTAAAATTTTTATATGTTTTCAAGTAAACGTCTCAGAGTAAATATGTACAATGCCAGGCGGTTTTGAACAGCATAAGACCTTGACAGGCGAGGGGACAGCTGCTAAGGGAGTGCGAGTGAGAGGTGTTGCGTGAATGCCTATAGTGCGAGTGAGACCGTTTATCTAATACGAAGGGACGTATACCTGCTCTCGAGCAACAATGTACAGAGAAGAATTTCGTCAGTTGTGCCAATGATTTTTACTTGTGAAGATGCTTTGAGCTATAACATTTCTTATGTTGAGTGAATTCGAATTTTTAAAAAATCTAACTTTATATTATTATCAATTGTGCAGTGATATTGTGTATTGTTGTACTTAATATTAACATTTCAGTAAATAGTGTGCAAGATGGAATTGGAACACGTGGTTTGTGTGATTTGTAACGAAGACACTGACAAAAAAACTGTACGATTTACAGAGACTACGTTGAATAAAAGTAAATCAATATTGAAAATAAGAAAAGACAATAATTTAAAATTTAAAGACATTTCTTTGCCAGAGGAAATTAACGCAAATACTGGTTACCATGTAAAATGTTATAAAAAC